AACAATTTTTACAACCACATTTTTTTTCTACAGCATTAAGATATGGCTTTAGGAAATGAGAGAGTTAGAGACGTTTTTACATTTTTAGGGCTGTAATTTTAAAAATAAGGTTAAAACATGATTGGTAATGTTTAAGGCTTTAAAAAAAAAATTAAGGCCGTAACTCCTTTATATATATAGTCCTACCAATCACACCCTATATTTTGTTGGCACAATAATTGATACTAACACAGTGATATGTAACGGTAGTCAATACGTTATAGCTTCTATAGGTAATAAGTGCTTCAAATGGAAACACTTTTATCGATCATTGTTCACATGATAACTCGTTGGATTCAACAGATTTTCTTATATTACTACTATACATTCATCTTTAAAGATTGAAACTCTACTTTAAAATGCATTCATTGTACGTAACTTTTTCCAGCATTAACTTTATCATTTAATTTTCAAAAAGACACTTTGTAAGTTAAGTCTAATCAATACAAAAAAAAATATTAATTGAAACATACCAATGAAATTAATCCGAACTTATACAACCACAACAAAAGCACATATTCTAAAGATTCGTCAATAAAACAAAGATTAAATAGATCAATATTTGTTAGTTATTATAACCTTAGCGAGTTAGCGTATGAGTTCTTAGGAGTTCATACAAAATGTATAGAGTAACTATTAAAAGTGAAGAATAAAATTGAGATGATATAGATATGCGCAGATATCGACCGGAACATACAATGGGCCCAAAGGACAAGGACCAAACAATGTGGGCCCATGAGATAAGGACCCAAAAATGACTAGTGATAAAGTTGATGGCCCCACATTTAAAAAAAGTTAATCCCCTGTGAAACCCGAAGGCCAGAGGGATGGGTCCCACATAACCAAGTTGCACGGCGAGTGATGTGTTGGGTCTAAATGGGCCGTGAAAACGAGACATCTAGATGGGCCCATCTCATTCATTGCTTGCCAGAGTCCTTTGTGTTTGTACCACAAACGGCAAGCTGTTCAAGGTACACTGACTGCAATGCTTGCCGGTTTTAGGAAAAGGTTTCTGACACCATCAACTTTTTGTTGGGTTCCAAGATATTAATATGGTCTCAAAATAAATATTGGATTTCTTTTGTCATAAAAATTTAAAATATATCCTGTAAGTAGCAGTTTACTACTATTCTTCAATCAAAGTTAACATTTTGGACGACAAAAAAAAAAAAAAAGAGTTAACATTTTGTAAACTATTTGAATTCATGGGAAAATGATCGTTTGATTCTTCAAGTAGTTGAAATTGACTAAATTTGGTCGTAAATTAAGTGGTGTATTCGTCAGCTATCCAGATGGAGTGATAAAATAATTTGTTCTATGGATTGAGACAAAAAAATCTCCCATTTTAATTGTAGTGGGAAAAAATGTGTTTCATGCAAAGTTGAAACATAAAACGGACATGGTAGGTTGAAACAGAGCACTAGCCCAATAACAGGCCCAGTTATGCAGCCCAACCAAGCTACATTCAGAGGCGCCACTAAAACAGATAGCGTTTAGTGATGAGATTGAGTAAAAGCCATTGTTCGGTGCAACAGTCGAAGCTTCTCGCGTCTCCTCCTCTAAGTCTGTTTCTTGCATCTTTCTGTTAAAGATTCGTCCTTTGCGCTACAAGAATCAATTTCAGCTTTTGTTTTATTCAATTCTCACCTCGTACACTGACCAAACAACGGTTTCGTCTTTTGTCGGAAAAAAAAAAAACTGAGTTATTACAAATAAATACCCTTCAGAGGTATTCTTTGCTTCTCGACCTTGTAATCCTCTATTCACTCTTATCACGTGTTCTCTCTCGATGCTTCTCCTGTCACGCTTACGAAATTGTATCGTTTTTTATGCGTTTCTTCGCTTTCAATTGGTTTCGATTTCTCCTTTTCTGGGATAACATTTCTGATATTCGAATCGCCTATTGGTTTTACTAAATCGTTCCTATGGTTTTTAGAGTAATTGCCTGCATATACTTGATAGCTCTCTGTTATTGCGATTCTTGAAGTAGATTTTACAATCAAGTAATGATTTTTGCTTTTTTTTTTTTTTGTGTGTAGGTATCTCTACTTGGGGTAATTCGTATTAGATTTATGAAAAAGATATGATGATTTGTTACTCTCCAATCACAACATGTTCTAGGAATGTTATACATATCAAGAAGCATCTAGGCACTCGCCTCTACGGCGTTGTGGCACAAGGATCGTACAAATTCGGCTGTTGCGGTTTTTTCTCTGGACTTCCGAAAAGAAGTTATGCCGGTTTTCGTGTATCGGTCTCTAATAGACCATCTAGTTGGCTGGATAAAGGACTTTGTGGTTCGGTATTGATCAATCGATCAACCGTTGGTTCTAAAGGAAAGCTTGAAGTTTCTTTCTTGATCCCCGATGCGAAAATGAAATGCTCTGAGATCAAAGACAACATGAGAAATCTCTATTGGTATTCAAGATTTGCTTATACTGGTGCGATTGTTAGCTTGCTTGTTTGTTATTCTTCGACTTCCCAATCAGCTTATGCAGAAGCTTCAAGGGATAAAGGAGATAACAACAGCAGCGACATGTATAATGATAAATTCCACCATGGCAAAAGAGTCTACACTGATTACTCTGTCATTGGTAAGTGTCTGATAATATCTCATAGTCAGCCAAAATTTGCTCGCTGATCTTATTGCCGTGTAGACATTAGCTGAACCGGAAAATGGTAATGAGCTGTAGGTATTCCTGGGGATGGTAGATGCTTGTTTCGTTCTGTGGCTCACGGGTTTTGCTTACGCTCTGGAAAATCGGCTCCAAGCGAGAACAGACAGAGACAACTCGCTGATGAACTACGTACTGAAGTAAGCATCTCTTTAAACTTTTTATTTGTTATATACTCTGCAACCAAAAAATCAATATAATAGCTGGATTGGGATTCATATGGTTTCATTAGTACTTTCAAGTTTCAACAAAGCCAAGTCTTAATTTTCAAGAAATCCCATTCATGTGTTATCTTGAATATGACAGGTTGCTGATGAATTTATCAAAAGAAGACAGGAAACAGAGTGGTGAGTTACTTTTAGGCCGATTCAACTACATTTACTGGCTATAGACCGCTCTTAGCTTCCATATCTCATCGATCTCTTGCTGCAACTAGCCTTGACATCACACCATCTTCTTCTTCTCCTTTGTAACCTGAATTACAAACTATTAAGGTGAAAAAAGGTTTTAAGTAATTCTGATGTTTGTCATCAGGTTTGTAGAAGGAGACTTTGACACATACGTAACCCAAATCCGAGAGCCTCACGTGTGGGGAGGTGAACCTGAACTATTCATGGCTTCACACGTTCTCCAGTAACTTCCTCTTCTCTCTTTTGTTTTCCTTTTATGTGCATGATTTCAGCTTCTCATAAGCTTCCTAGATTGATGAGGAGGTGTGTGTGTGTTTTCTTGATGACCATAGGATGCCAATCACGGTGTATATGAAAGACGAGAAGGCTGGAGGATTGATAAGTATCGCGGAGTACGGTCAAGAATACGGTAAAGAAGATCCGATCCGAGTCCTATACCATGGTTTTGGTCATTACGATGCCCTCTTGATTCACGAGTGTAAAACTTCAATTCCAAAATCCAAACTTTAGCAATCTTTAGCTTCACTACCTGGAACGTGTATGAATTTACTTAATTACCCTCCGATAAGTGGGATCTTCACATGCATCTTTGTGTTGGTGACTTTTGTCAGGTGGTGAATGATTTTTTTGGTTTCTGACACAACCAATCTTGTGGAATGTTACCTTTTATGTACTTTTTTTTTACCTTTTTAATTTGAAATAATATGCTCGTTTCAAAATCATAGCTTGCGTGCCTCACATTTTCAAATCGTGATAATAATACTAAAGTTCTTTCTAAATGTTTGTGGGCACTCAGAAAGAATATGGTCAGTGTGGTATTTAAACAAATATACATCAGTTTTCTTATTTGTTTAAGTAGTAAGATTAGTCTTTAGTTTCTTGTTTGTGTCCTAATTCAAATCCAAATTAAATTCTTGTCGCGAGTCTCGACTTCCTAGTAATAAAAAGCCTACTCTTGTCCATCTTTCAACGTAAAAGCAAATCCAATAATCATCGACATTACCATTTTAAGCAAAATAAAGAGTTAAAACAATTTAAAAACACAGATATTTGATAATTACCTGCATCATCAGTGAATGACTAAAAAACATTGGATAATTTCAAATTTATAATCACCATGCACATCTTCCAAGATTACTTGAAGCTCTCACAAGAATTCAAAAACTTTCTCATGTCTACATTTACCCCACGTTGCTACATTGTAACCCATCACTCTAAAAT